TATATATATATATATTATTTTTTTAATTTTTTTTTTTTTACTAGATTTAGATGGCTCGAAGTGAAACTTTACAAAATTATTTATCAGGATGTATTGGTGTTGCTTTTTTCTGACTTATTTTTTTTATATCCTGCTGGTCATTTTGTAACGCCACCCCCCCTTTCTTTTCCCTCCTCCTGCCAGATGATCGACATGATGTATTTTGTCATCATCATGTTGGTAGTGCTCATGAGTTTTGGGGTGGCACGCCAGGCAATCCTCAATCCTAATGAGGACCCCTCCTGGATGTTGGCCAGAAACATCTTCTTCATGCCTTACTGGATGATCTATGGAGAGGTGTTTGCCGACCAGATAGATCGTAAGTTTTGGGTGTCTGCTACTGGATAAAATGTATTCTCTTGATTCTTGATAAGAAATGATCATCTTAATTAAATTTAAAATATAGGTCAGAGATTCCTTCTAAAATACACCTAAGGAAGGTCCCAAAATGCATCCCAAATATTATACAATCTCTTGAACTTTTTATATTTTTTCACAAAAAAAGCCACAAACTCGGAAAACAATCTTATCTGAAAGACCAACACAAAGTACTGGTTAGCTTTAAAGTGCAGTGGACATGAAGCATGAATTAGGTTAAAAATGTGAGAGTCATTAGTGGAGCAAAGTTATAGAATATTAGTGAAGAAGCAGCGGGATAAAGAACAAAGAACACGGCAGAGGTGTCAAGGATAAAAACTATGGAGAAATATAAAATGGCGTCAGGTTAAGACTAACCACAACTTAAGATAAATCATCTAAAAATATAAATATAATGACAGAACTGAGACATGGTATTCTTAGCAGACAGTCGAAGCAAGGAGAGGACTGTTACAGAAAAAGGAAAACTTTAACTGGAAAAATTACAGAGATCCAAATCTCTGATTCTGTTGAACAGCTTTTTGTCATGTTTTTCACAAATTATATAACAAATTAAAGGCTAAAAGAAAATGCTGGAATTAAATGAAGAATTCATGTTTGCTGTTTGCCACAAGCCATGTAGGGGAATCAGGCGACATTTGGATGAGGTTTCTCTGGCCAGATGAAACCAAAAGTTAACTTTAGGGCTAACATGGGATAAAAGTAGCAGATTATGCCTAACAGGTCGTCCTTATGATGCATGGTGGTGGTGGTGTCATGATGTGGTGATAATTTTTATTTTGATCAACAGTAAAGTTTGACAGCCTCAATGGGATAATGGACAAACTAAATATCTTGCAAGAAAATCTATTTGAGAAAAATGGTTTACCTCTTAAGGTATGCAAAGCTGGTAGAAACGTTGCTCAAAAACGGTCGATATTGCAGGATGGGGTTGTTGTTTTATGACTTAATTTTTATTACAATTTTTGCAAGATATATGCATACAAGCCCACATTTAGTCTGCTGCTCTTCACTTACGAAACACTTAAAGTAAGTTTAAAAGTATATGCATCAGGTTAAACTTACAAGTTAAGTGAGTTAAATATACAAACATAGCTATAGTTGGTAAATTAATAAGCAGCACAAATTAGGATAAATGACTGAAATAGAAATAAAATTAAAAACAATATGAATAAAAATAAATACATAAAAATAAGAGACATGTGTAAATCATATTTAAAAAAAGAGAATTTTACTGCTGATGTGGTTGTTTTGCAGACTATCAATGTGCAAACAACCCACACCTTTTAAATTTCTATTTTCAGAAACAATTAATTTTCTCATACCTCTAATTAATCCATTATTATGTATTGGTCTGTTACATAACCTGGCAAAAAGTTCATGGATGTTTTTGGATGTAGTGGCACAAAATTTGAAAAAGTTCATAATTTTTTAATGCACTATAAATAAGACAGATGGCATCATGCTTGAAGGGGTAATTCTTGACAAATCGTTGTTCATCATACAGGGAAACTATTGGTTGTCAAAATTCATCAGGAGTTTATTATGTCTGCATTGTTTTGTAACTGGTTAAAATTGTGACTTAATAAATTAAATAGAGACTGTTGGAAGTGTCTGTGAGAAAATGAGTGACTGCCTGTCTGTGTACTGTTCTGTTGTCTATTTGTATAGTACTGTAAATGAAGGTGTGTACAGAATGTTAGGAGTGGCCCAAAGAGAAGAGATCTGAAATAATGTTTCCATTCTTTGTTTCAGATATGCATAATAAGAAGGTACAGCACAGGCTGAATGAAAAACTCTGGCTGGTCGAAAATTACTTACGAACGCACGGAACCTGGCGTAGTAGTGGTCCAACCCACATTGCCCAGACCATTCTAAATTCCAGTAAATCTATACATATAGACCTCAGTTGAACTACATCTGCCTATCCCACCTCTCCTTCGTCATCCTCGCGTTACCAGCATGTCATTCAAAGCCCAACCACAGAGGCCACTTGAGAAAAAAAGTCTGCATGTGTTCTCTATCATGTTTTCTTGCTGTAAGGCTAAAGTTGCAACTGGTATGATACCTTAGGTCAGCTGCTAAACTAAGGGTTTTGAACAACAAGTCAAACAAAATCTGAGTTTGTGAGACATAAGTCTTTTCTTTAACAAATCTTGAAAGAGATGATGTAGTGGCTTGACCTAAGGCTATTAATTACCGTAAGCAACTTCACTCCCACTAGTTTTAGCAATGGTCGCTCAGGTTGCAGCAGCACTTTTTATATTTTTTCTCATCTTTTTAAGGTCTTTGTATCTTGTCAGCTGCTGCACTAAAAGAAATCATCAAGGATTTTAGATATCCTTGATGCCTCTTTCCTTGATTTTCTTATCATGGTTAACTATAATTTTTTTTATTTGGAGAAGTGACCATTTCGCATGAATTATATGATTTAAACAACAGTTCAGCTTCTCAATGAAGCAGTAGCACCACTGCTGAAATACTTCCCCAACTAAAGCCAGCATTTGTTTCAATGATCTCCAAACCTTGCTGAAAACATTAGATTACATTTGAATGAAACGCATGTACATACTGTACCAGGACATGTTCACCCTTCATCTTCTGTAATCTGTTTTTTCACGTGGTTCAGTTGTCAGAGTTTTTGTGTCCAAAATTTGTCGACGCTAAAAAAGAAATAAATTACTTCAGTTCTCTGTCTTTGGGCTACATTGTGTGAAGCAATTGAGCACCGAGAAATAATGAGCATGACCACCCTGAATCTCCGAGGCAAACAAACCAAGGACAAATGCTGAATGTTCCCTAGATCAGCCACAGCAACTGAACCATCATGGATGGAAAAACATACATTGTTTCCTAAATACATGTCAGATGGACATCAGAGCAAACAACCATTGTGGAATGAAGTTATGACTCTCACATGTGGCAATATATTTTAAACACACGTTTAAATATATTGAAAACACAGATAGGGTGAACACATGATAAATGTGTCGTTCTGTGAAATCTGTTTACTTTATTCCCATTTCCTTACATGAACCCCTGCCATTATAGTATTTGCTCTTTCCAATTCCTTCCCCAAAAAAGAAGCATGCCAATGAAGTATGCTTCTTGTTTGTTTGCAGAATATATATTTATTTATTTACTTTGTTAAATACTTAAGATCTGCTTGTCTTTTTATTTTGTTGTTTCCACTCATGAATGTTAGGGTATGATCTGTAATTATAATTTTTTATTTTTTTGCATCAGTCTTAACCTTTAATTTCATATGTATTCATTTTTGGTTTAAGTTATGCCTCTGCATGTATCTCTTATCAAACATGCATCCAGTATATCCATGACAATATGGATAGAAGAAAGTATGTTTTCTATGCTGTATCAAATTGCATGTTTTTTTTGTTGTTGTTGCACTCTGCAGCTCCCTGCGGGCAGAATATCACCACAGAGGATGGCGTGGTGGTGACCCTGCCGCCATGTAAGACTGGTGCTTGGATTGTACCTGCAATCATGGCTTGCTACCTGCTGGTCGCCAACATACTTCTTGTCAACCTACTCATTGCAGTGTTTAAGTATGTAAACTTTCTATTTTACCACGTAAGAATATAGATATCTCTTTAACTTTTACGCCTTTTGCCAGATTATAACCTCAAAATGGAACATAATTGTTATATATATATACTGAAACTGAGAGATGAGTTCCAAAGAGAATATGCATCTTGATTTCTGCCCAATCTAAATCAGATCTCATCCAGCAAATTGCCTTCAACCATTTCCTAAATAGGGCCCAAATATCTCAAGCTTTGAACATCTAAGCACTGTGTGATGTTTACTATCTGAATATGGATGAAGGATGTGGATGTAACAAGTGGGTTACAGGTTTACTGACAGGTGATGCAAGGAAGCATTAATCAGAGAATCAGAATCAGAGACCCCCTTTTAGTCTAAAGAGGCTAAATAGATCAACGGCCTGAGGTGGGAGAATCTGTATTGAGAGTCCAGGCGTAATTTCTTTTCAATTGAACATTATGTATGACTTTCTGCTTCTCCATTACATAAAAACCAGATTTAAGTGTATAAGAAATGTAATTATTCCTAAAAACAAATGCTATTTTTGATTGCAAGATGTAGTGGCCTGTGCTTTCTTCCAGTAACATATGTATTACAGTGCTAATGTATGAAATTACTATCTACTTTAGAGTTTCTTTCACGTCAAAGCACTTATAGCAATATTTTAGACAGTGATATTAAAATGTGTTTTTTTTTTTACAATATTTTGGAACTGCTATTTTGCTTTTGACTTTAAAAGTGATCCTTGTAAATCATTAGCACAATGTAATGCAGCTCCTGCTGAATTATAATGCTACTAATTCACTTTTTTATCAAAAATTGCACAACTATGATTGCTTTTGATGTGTACCTATTTATTTATGTGTGTTAAGAAATCATTGTCCCGTTCAAATACCAATCCGTCTCCAAGTTAAAACCTAAAATATCACATAGGGTAAGAGGAAACTAGTTAGTTTTTGTTTAGGAACAACCCTGCCATGAACTGGAATCTGCTAGAACACAAGCAGTACTGACCAACACAAACTGAATTTTATTTGCTGAGTAGTTGCTGACCATGTTAGATGCATATGCCCAAAAATGCCACACTTCAGTATGACGTTGTCATCTCCTTACATAGACGAGCTGAATCCCTCTTCAGGAGTGTTTCATGACCAGATGTTAGGATGCAATGGGAGAAAGTAGTTTAAAATTTAAATTACTTTATCACGAATCAAAAGCTAATCAGTTGCAAACTAGACACAATTTACAATTAATTATCTATAACATGTCTAAAATTTTCTGATGACTTAAAAATAGTCTGCTTTCACTCTAGCTTGCTAAGAGATATTTAATTCAGATGTTTAATTCTATAAAACTTGAATTAATTCCTAATTAAGCAAATTTGTTTTTGTTAAATTGGTATTTAACCTTAAAAAAAAAACAGTTTAACATATTAATATTTAGCCCAAATTACTCACCCAATGCTTCTCACCTTCACTTCAGATGTTGAAGCTCTTAGTTTATCTGCTAGTTACAATTAAATGCAGCAGCATTGATGAATGGAGTCTCTTTATTTGAGATTCACTGTTATCTGTAAATCTGTAATGGCTAAAATTTGTTTGTGCTTGATTGTTCACAGCAACACATTCTTTGAGGTAAAGTCCATCTCAAACCAGGTGTGGAAGTTCCAGCGTTACCAGCTTATCATGACCTTCCATGAGCGTCCGGTTCTTCCTCCACCCCTCATCATCTTCAGCCACATAACAATGGTCCTAAAGCATCTATGCTGCCGCTGGCGCAAAAATGATGATGACGAGAGGGACTATGGACTGAGTGAGTGGAAGACATTCATTATTTTAAATCTGAAAACAAGTGTTAAATGTTCTCATTTATAGACTTTGCTTTTAATCTACAGCTAAAACTTTTAAATAAATCCAGAACATTGAACACTGCAGGTCTTTTACTGACATAAAATGAATAACATTAACGTTTTTGTTATTCTTTTACTACCCAGAGCTTTTCATCACAGAGGATGAGCTGAAGAAAGTTCATGATTTTGAGGAGCAATGCATAGAGGAGTACTTCAGAGAGAAGGATGACAGATTCCACTCATCTAATGATGAAAGGATCAGAGTCACGTCTGAGAGGTCAGATAAGAACACAAGAATGAATGGGAATCTAAAGTGCCTTGCAAAAGTACATGTGTCTCTCGAACATTTTAACACATTTTGTTACATAAGGAAGTCCATAAGCCTTCAGATGATCCAAATTGCTGAGGACAGAGTTTTAAAGAAAATTAAAAAGAGAGATTATATTTTTCCTGTTTTAGCGATTTTTATTGGCTTCTTGTTAAATCCTCTTTCTCACATATTCATTCTGTAATAACTGAGCTCCATCTTATATCAGAGATCTGATAGTTCCTTATGTTTCTAACAGAGTATTTACTATCATGCAACTTTTCAATTTTTTTTTCATGGCCTCATAATCTTTTCTGTATGATCAATGAGCTCTAAACATGCCAATTAGAGAGACTAATCAATTCCCCAAATTAACCAAAACAATAGTAGAAATTTGTACATTTCGAAAACAAAAACTAAACAAGTCCTGCTTAAAGTTAATCAATTTTTTACATTTACACGAATTGTACGCCTAACATACCTACCAACCATTTCATCTTCATTCCCTTTTTAGAGTGGAGAACATGGCAATGCGATTGGAAGAGGTCAATGAGAGGGAGCACTTTATGAAAGCATCACTGCAGACTGTGGATATTCGTCTGGCCCAAATGGAGGAGCTAATTGGAAGAATTACCGTGGCTCTGGAGCGTGTTACGGGTGTTGAGCGTGTTGAGGTCACTAAAGCACGCTCCCGAACCTCATCTGATTGCACAGACTCAGCATATATACTTCGCCAGGCAGAGTGCCCGGAGTCTGCATACATCCTCCGCCAAAGCAGCTTTAACAGCACAGAGGGCAATGCTTACCGCCTACAGGAGGCACTGGAGGGAACAGCTGAGGGCTCCATGTCCCCTCCCTCTCCTACTGGCATGGCTGCTCGGACAAGAAGTCACTCTTTCTATCTTGGGGGTGGACGTGCTGTTGAACGCACAAGCGGGGCTGAGCGGGCTGAAAGATTCTTTAAAGAGCGCTCACTCAGTCTTCACAGGGCCAATAGCTCACAATCTGTGTCTTCAGCTGCCGCCACCAAGGAGTCTAAGCCCCTCCCACTGGCGACGCTGTCGGTTTCCCAGCAGCACCGTCCGTCATCATGCATTGATATTTATGTCTCAACATCTGAGGAGGTGGGTCCTGCAGAGGTCTTTCTTGATCCTCTCCGTGTGGTCCCACCCCTCCAGAGAGACCGTTCACTGCAGTCAGATATTATAGAGACGGTGCTGCCAGGAGGCCGTGACTACAGCAGCACTGCTACCAGCGGTTTGGGCGACAGGCACTCGGAGGGCGGCGCAGGCAGCAGTGGAACAACTGGAGCTATGTATGATGACAGCGCGGCTGCTGATTTGTCATTGTGCTCAGCAAACCTCTTACCAGACACCATCCTACCTCCTTGGGATATGGAGCCATCTCCACCTCCCTCAGCAGGGCTGCTCGAACGCTCCAAGAGCAGCCGCTACCTCTCCACTGCAGGCACAACATTCCTTGATGAGCCTCCTCTGGTCAAGTCCCACAGCCTCATGTTCACGTCACGAAGTTGTTACGGTGGACTGGGGGCAGGAGTTCAGGTGAAAGCCACAGAATACACCAGCATCACTGACTGTATCGACACCCGCTGTGTATCAGCTCCATACACTCCTGCAGAATGCTCACACTCACCAGGAGGATCCACCTCATTCACCTTTGATAAGCCGTTAGACATTAGTTCCTCTCATCCGGAGAGAGAAGCAGAGTTAAGTCACACAGAGTCTGATCCTGAGGACCCAGAGGACCTGATACCAACCTCCGATACTCCTCACATAACAGGCCTTGGCAGGCCCAGTGGGGCTCCTCTCTGCTCAAACCTCTCCAGGCTTGAGCGAGCAAATAGCTGCTCCTCAGATGACTCCCATCCTTCACTCACACTGGCTCCTCCGCATCGGAAGAGCCTGTCAGTGAGCGAAAGGATGGAGAGGGGACAGGGTTTGGGAGCAGACAGGGGACCTGGGCCTGGGGGGCGAGGTTTTGCGGGACACAGATACCCTTTCCTCAGGAGCAAGTCCGGAGCACGACCTGACACAGCCAAAACTGACAGCCTGTCCATAAGAAAGCTGGCTGCTCCATCAGCTTTCCGCAGCTTTGATAGACAAAACTACACGTGACAAGGGCGTATTGGGGCCCTTACGCATTGTTGGGGCTTGGGTGAAAACTGAAAAGGGCCAGAGTAACAGCAGGATGAAGTTGCCCATAGATACTGATGTTGAGCATACCTATACTGTGTTCCATTATTTTTTAGGTTTGGAAAAGTTTAATTATTATCTGATTAAAGGGCAGCTTTCTGCAACAGTAAGAATCAGAAGGTCTATGAATATCACTAAAAAGAAAGAGCTATGAATTTAGATTAGTTTATACCTCTTGTAGCAAAGTAAATTACAATGGGGTGCCATAAAAATGGAAGTTGTAATTGTCCTGTAGGTCTTCCACAAACTGAATTTACACAAAGCAGACATTGGCCACTGTTTTGCACCACATATCTCACCCTAGAAAAATAAAGTATACTGGTTTTTCTACCTGTTTTATGCGGTAGGCACTGTTCAATCTGAGAGGCAAAGAAAAAGGTGAAGAAAAAGACTGTCAACTTCTTTTTGATATTTTGTGTAAGCAATATTGCAGGAAATGTTCCATTTCAAAGCCTACTTTTACATATCCCAAAATCATTATTTAAACCAGAATGGTACCCAAACAAGACCAGGTTTAAAGACAAAAATTGCCAAAAATTCTCCCTCTTTCAAAATTCCTAGTAATCCACGATAAAAATCAGATCAAGTGCATCCATAAATTATGTAAGAAAATGGAATGGCAGGGGGATTGACAACCAAAAACACTAATTATAGCTAATTTGATACTAAGCAGAAAAAGTTAGTCTGTCTGAAACAGACTAGCTACATGTATTGTCAAGTGGTGGTTTTGATTCATTTTTCCACCTTGACTATCTTCAAATCTTTAGGGTTTTAGGTGGCCTTTTGTATCAACTGTTCCTTTTGCATAATTTTCAGTTTCCTTTATTTAATTAGATTATTGCTTTACTAAAAAGTGAACTTTGAACATGCTTCAAATCTCTTTTTCTTCAGCAGTGGAGTCTTGTTGATGTAACCATGTATTTTGACTGAGGGTTTTAAGCTCTTATTGGCTCTTTGACAGCTCCTCTGATATTTCTGCTCGGTAAGAAATCTTGTTAAAAGCATCTGGACATTGTGATTTCTGATTAATTTGTGTTCCTTTCAGTAAGAATATGGGCCAAATTGTTCTTTCAAAATGTTAACAATTAGAAGAAAGGTTTTGTTTTGTTGCATCAATGCCATCTATTAATGCAGAATCAGCTAATCCTTTTTCACATTTTGTTACATTTATGATTTAATTTGATTTGATTTGATTCTATATATACATTATTTGGCTTGGTACAGACATTTTTTTATGAATTGAACATAAATGGCCTCTTTTAGAAATATGTTAACATGATGATGAATACTTATTTTCCCTGCTGTATGCTTTCGTACATCTTGAATGTTGATATCCCTAATATTTCCTCACTTAAATTTTTCAAGATGCAGTTCACCGTAAATCCTTTCTTAATTCAAAATGTATGTATTTTTGATTAATTTTTAAAATGTATTATTTAGTTATTGTGTTGAAACAAAAGACTTTCGAAACTCCTAAAAGAAATTAAGCAGAAAAAGGAACAATCTCAGGCCATTTGCGTCCTTACCAAAACTATCAGTTAAATGCACAGGTAAAACATGTTTGTCTTTGGATTAAAGAAAAAGCTTGTAGATAGTAGTGAAGGGGCATCAGCCAATTTAAGTATAATCATCTAATATGTTATCTACTGTTTCAATCATTGGCCATAAATACAAGTGTATACTGTGAATTGACTTATGCGTAAAAGATTTTATGAGACTTTATCAACCCTTTTACCAAAACTGTAAAAAGGGAAGCTGCAAAAGCTGAGTACAGGAGGGAGATAAAATTACTATGATCAAGCCTTAGCTTGACAGATGAACCGGGTGTGTGAACCTTTCTTCTTTTGACTGTAACTTACACCAAAAATATCCACACTCCATAAATCATAGATCTGTTATTAAGCCATTCAACTGATTTTGGCCGTGGTATTATTACTCTATCTAGATACAAATAGATCCGTCCTTCATCCTTTCCAGTGTTTTGATTTGTTTATTCTTTTTTTTCATTAAAAATTCAAGCAAGCCACCTCAGAGAGACTAAAGGAAAGCAACTGGTTGATGATGATACACCCATACATAAACTATGTACAGATCACAAAGATTTACTTTGAAAAAGCACTTATTTGTGAAATTAGTTTTTGAATAAGCTTGAAAATAAGCTGTTGAGTATATGCACTTTTGGTGAGATTTAACAAAGGTGTTCATCCTAGATGACAAATGATGAAGAGAGCTGTTCGTCACATGATGGTAGCTCGATTTATGCTTTGACATTTCTAATGTTTATTTTTGTGGAAGAAGTAGGTGGGGAGAGAGATGCCTTTCTCTGATAGATTTGCAAAGACAATATATTGAGTTTGATGTTTCAAACGCTTTCTCTATTTCATTTTAACTTAATCATGTTGTATTTATTTTGAGAAAATGATTCTATTTATATCTATTTTCTTGCTCATTAGCCATGATTATAGGAAATGCCTGTTTGAATTACAAAATAATATTTATATGTTTTCAGTGATATTTTTGTCAAATTTTAAGTATTTTCTAATTAAGCTTTTAAATACAATAAAATATGACCACCTACATGCACTAAATGATGATGTAAAATATTTATTAAATATAGATTAGTCTCAAATACTGTACATTTCCATCATATTTAAAATATTTAAAGTAGTTTTTATTGTGTGATTTATCAAGCTACTTATGAAATTTTTCTAATGTTGATACGGCAATACACAGTTGCCAGCATACCAAACTTAGGGTGCCTTTTTGGCATGGATGGAGTATGTGGGCATTTATGTGATTCAAGAATCTGTGAAGTGTCTCATTTTTGTTTCCTTTTTCTCATATAGGGGTCAACTATCAATAATCATTTAACATATACTTTAGTTGTTCCCTTTCCCATCTATTGTACATAGTGGGGAGCTTGTTATTAACTAGAGATTGGATTATTGCTTGTATGAACATTTATTTGAATTAATTTCAAGACACCAAAAATCATAGATGTCTTTAGCACAGTGGCTTTGTGGATTACGAGAATAAAACAATCTGTTTGCATGTGACAACAGGACGTTATGTGAGCCTCTCTTCTTGGCTAGGGCTGCTTTTGCAGTAAGTCTTCTGTTTAGCTTCAGGGGACATGATTAATTTGTGTTTTGCAATCAAAATCTTCCAGACTGTTAAAGATCTCCAGTTTTTAATGCTGTAAAGCATTAGGTGACTGTGGTTAGTGCTTTCTTCTGCAAAACCAAATATCCCCAACCTTTAAAGAAAAGCTCAGCGAAATGTCCCTTCAATCTACAGGTGTGTCTTGATATTTTAGAATGTAACAAAATTGATAAACTGGTTCATTGTTAATTTAATTCAAACTGAGAAATGGATGTAATGTATAGCTTCATTACACATAAAGTAGTATCTTTCAAATATTTACTACTGTTACATATGACCTTAGCTTACATCTAATGAAATCCAGCGAATTTTCGCAATGCAATAACAGTAAAATGTTATGTAATGGCAATGTCAGGGTCTCCTCAATCATAAAACTCTAACAGTCTATGATGTCATCAGCAAAGAGATAAAGCCACAAAGGATAATTTCTAGAGAAACAGTTGTTATTTTGTTTCCCAGAGGACTGTATCTAAGCATGTTACTAACAAGCAGAGTTGAAGAAAAAAGTACAGTAAAATAAACATAAGTAACACGGTTGACTGCAGCCTTGACATGTTTGTGGAGAAAAGCCCAAACAAGAGTGAAAAGGGCTTCACAAATTATGGAGTGCAACTGGAGTCAGAGCTACATGAACCACCATATGTACCAGGATTTCAGCTGTCACATTCCTGGTGTAAGCACACTCCTGAAATACAGTTAGTATCAGAAGCATCTCACATGGACTAAGGAAAAGAAGGACTGAACAGCAGCTCAGTGGTCCAACTTCTTTTTTGCAATTAATTTGGAAATCAAGGTCAGATAAGCTGGAGGAAGAGTGTAGAGGCTCATTATGGTCCAGTCTGAAGTTCCCACAGTCATCTGCTAGGATTGTGCAAAATCACCCCAGATTAGTACAGAAATAGTTCTGCAGAACTTTCGCTTCCTCTTTTTGTCAACATTTTTTTTTAATAGATTGATTTCATATTCCATTGGGACTTTTTCATTCAAGCAAATGCTCCAATACCTCCTTCAAATAGGATGAAACAGGTATTACCCTCTTGGAAATGCCAGCACATGACCTAAACCCAATAGAGCTCACTGAGTATTGAAAAGCAGTAGATGAAAGACTCCCCATGTGTCTTGTGGATGTTTACATTTTTCAAGCACAGTTTTTCCTTCCTGTTACATTAGAACTATAAGCTTAGATACATCCCTCATTTACTTTGTTTAAAAAAGAAAAAAAACATTAAAACTTTTGTGGCTTAACCTCTTTGTGGAAGTGCAACTAGCTGTTTTGTGAGCAACTGTCAAGCTGACAGCCTGTCCTATATTTTTGTAGGGCCTGAGTAAATAAAAATGATTAATTTCCTAGAAAGTGGATTTAAAATTACATTCTGATTTACTGAGATGCACCGGTACTTGGTTAATCATCAACTGAAGGTTTGCAGTGGTGAGTAAAGATCATGAAAGAAAGACTATATGTCTGGCATTGATGTTTGACACATGCAAAAACGCAATTTCTTTTAGCTTCCTTGACAGATGTGCAGAATTGTGAAGATAAAAGGATGACCATAGGTCGGTGCTCAGGGACAATATTACCCCAGTGATGCAAGTTATTAAGTCTTTAATGAGTCACATCAGAATTAAAGAAGGAAGAGAAAGAAAAAGATTAGTTTGTTTAGAGCTGAAGGCGCCAATTACAATCACTGTGCTTAAATATATATATGTTTTGTCTTGGGAAAAAGCAATAGCCTATAAATGAATGTCTTCATACTGGCTCATCTTGCTCCCCCTCAGAAATATAAATTGCCGGCAGTAAAAACAAAATGGTCTTATTTTTTTGTTTTGTTTGTTTATTGAAACCAAACTCTCAAACCAAATGGAGATAGACTGAGATAGATTCATTCAACCTATTGTCTACCAAGCCATGACAGGCAGGGAATAAAGTTCTGTGTGAAAACAAATGGCTGTGCTTGACTTAGCTCCTCCCTTTTTAGGCAATGATATTACTTTGTGTGGTCTTTTTTCCCCACTGCAAAGAATATCAGACTTGTTCTTGGCATGTAGAAACAATGGGATGATCAATACATCGACATGTATGCTGTTGTGCAAGAAAATGTTAAAGCAGGAAATGTGAATGTGACTTGCTTGCGTGTGAAACCAGACATTTAGAATACACCATCAACAGGGAGGGATTCCAGAACAATAAAACCCACCAGAGATTATCAGTGTACAGTAATTTAAAGATATTTTCTTATGCTGAATCATACATTTTCAGTAAAAGACAAGCAAATGTCGATTATAACCTGTTAGTTTTTTTCATTTCCTTTCTATAGAATGTGGAGACTAGTAAGTTGAAGGAGAATTTCACACAGACATACCTCTGCAATAATTACTAATGTTAATCTAAAAGGGATCTATTGTATCCCACCTATTGGTCACACTTAACTTTCTGTTATTTAAATGCATGCAGTTCTTCCACTCAGC